TATATATATATATATATGAAAGTTTGGCTCAAGTTTTATTTGAATATGAGCAATTTATAATTTGACCAAGCCAACTACAATCAATGACTTAACTTGAATTGGCTCTTCCTACAAACAAAGAGAAAGAGAGAGAGAGAGAGAGAGAGAGAGAGAGAGAGAGAGAGAGAGAGAGAGAGAGCCATGTTTATTTCTAAGAGGAATGATCATTTTCCTTTTAATTTAATGCCATTACCTATTTATGTTCAAATTAGTTTAATCACTTCATATTTCGCTACAACACGAGCCGCATACTTCCACTTACATTTAAAATTATTTGATCGTCAGTCAAATAAATGAAATGTATTTCTGTAAAAAAAAAAAATTACATAAATCTATTTGAATGAACTTATATTTTTAGTGAAAATAGGGAAGCATTTGATTGTAAAAACGAGCATTTACATACATACCATACACTTCTTATATATTTATATATCTATTACGTAAATTTTCATATTTACCTTTTTCATGCATAGCATTATGATGCTAAAGTGTTATAAGTGCAAATATCAAATTTTTGGTCATAGATGTATAAATGCATATGACTTATGGTATGCAGGTAAATTTCTTTAATTTTTATATATGGATGATAATTATAATCAATAATGTCATCCTAAAATTGAATATTATACAGGTATACAACCCATGTTTATGCCCGGCGATCAATAGGGTTGTCGAAAAAGCTCGTTGTTCGCGAGCAGTCGTCAATGAGCTCATGTTCAATTCGTTCGATAAGTAAACGAGACGAACGTTAACTAACAAATTTTTTTCGTTCGGCTAGTTAAACGAACCAAACACGAACAGTGATGCGTTTGTTCGTATTCGAAATATAAAATAATTTAAAATAATTATATATAAAAAATTTATGATATGTTAAAAAATTAAAATTAAAAAATTATAATATATAATAAAATAATAATAATAATATATTAATATGCAATATATATATTTTATATTTATATAATATAAATTATATAATTAATATAATATATTATTTATATATATTAATATTAGGAATGTCAAACTGGCTCGTCATTCGCGAACAACTCGTGTTCGGCTTATTCGTTAAAAAATAATCACTAACAGTGACTTCACGAACAATTTCGAACACGAGCTTATTTCAAACAAACTAAATTTCAAATGAACAGAACACGAACACAAGCTCTATTCATTCATTCATTCGTGTTCGGTTGTTTACACCCCTAGCGATCAGTACGCCTAATACAATCATAAAAACTTGGGCTTCATACAATCAGATGAAATCTCTAAGTTTAAGTATAGGCTTTTCAATCAGGTGAAACCCTCCTCTACTTGCCTTCTTTAGGATATTTCAAAGCTTTTAAATTTTTTAAAAAATAATAATAAATAATAAATTTATTCACTCATTTTAAATACAAAAATAAAAAATCCCCCTTAGGAAAATTGTCACATTTTCAATCAAGTTTAATGTCTAAAAATATACAAACTATTAAATAATAGAAAAAGAAATTTGGGTCAATCCGCCCAAATTTTAGTGAAAAATGTCAAAGTCATTAAATTTATTTGAAAGAAATATAGCATATTAGAAATTGTGTGGAATATATAGCATACAGCACACATCCTGTTCCACTACCCCAAATGTAGCAGCTGCAAGAATGGCAGAAGTACGCTTATCTCCTGGGCTGAGCGACAGACAACAAAAATGGTGGCTTTCAATACATATCACAAAACTAACTGTCATCTATTTACACATCAAACATCTAATTTTTCATATTTACTTATAAAAACAAACGTCTCAATCACATCAAACAAGTTACCGACATATATTTTTGCTAAATTGTGTTATTTCTTGAGAATAAAATGGGTTATTTCATTAATAAGTCGTCTCCATCAAGCCATGCTCAAACTTATGTGAATGAACTATTTTCCTCACATTTTTGGAGTGTCGGAATGAAAAGCAATAAACATAATGCAAGCTATTTATTAAATGACAAGAGATGGTGGGATTAAAAACCTCTCTGCGCTGAGAAGCAAGCAAGAGAAGAGAACTGAGAAGGGCTTTGACATCATTTATCCTCGAGAATTGCTGGGATTATTTTACCAGTGCACGTGCCGAACCCTACTTTGTAGTCTGGCCCCTGAATTCACAGAGCAGAAATGATTTTTCAGCTGCTCATAAATATTGTATAGGTTTAGCTGTTTTCATGAAAATAATATGAATGTGATTATTATGCTACAAATTAGTATGTATTATGAAGCATATTCATTTTCTTATGAAATTGTGCAAAGTTACCAATCTTGTAACATCAACCTTAATGATCACCTGTAAAGATGGAGTAAATGGTCGGATCCAGATTCTAAAATTCTAACAAGCAAAGCATAGGAAAAATCACTTAAAATTTGAAACAAAAACTCTTGAGAATCCCCTACATTTGTTTTTTTTTTTGTTGGAATTATAATTTACTAGCTCGGTTTGATTTTCCCGCACCTATTCAAAAAAGTTCAATATATTCTCTATAAACAACTTCTTCGTGTGATTCATTTGAGACCTAGCGTCACTCGGCGTCCTCTCACTCCTTGGACTTGATTCATTTCTCTAATAAAGTTTTAGTATCAGTAGTAAGATATGCACAGATTCAATCGTCTTTACATGTTGCCATTAATTTAAGTTTAGCAAATAAGGGAATAATAATTTGGTCCATGGGCTTCGATGAATATGAGAACAAACCTCACAGCACCCAGTAATAATGATTTCATCACCATCTTCCAAGAAAGTCCGAGCTGAGCCATTTAAGCTAAGTTGGTTTTGTCCATTCCACGTTATCTCTAGCAAGCAGCCAAGCGAGTCATTTTCCTGCAAATTATATATAAAATTCAAGTGCTTGTGACAAGGACATATCTTTCCCTGAAAATAAAAAATGCTATTAAAGCATTGCCATTAAATAAATGATGAGATACTTTACATACAGGTCCGCTTATTGTGCCAGTGCCAAGAAGATCACCAGATCTTAAATTGCAGCCATTTATGGTGTGGTGCGCAAGCTGCTGCGTGATTGTCCAGTATCTGGCGAATTATATAAATGAGAGAGAGACATGGGCAAAAAGAAACAATAGTAAAGCATTCAAAATCAATCTCCTCATCAGGTAATTCAAGTAGGTCAATCAAATATAAATGTAAAGTCAAATATTTAAGCATCCAAGAAACAGTCAGTGGTTATTGTAGAAAATAAGTAATGGGGAATCTCTCAAGAATCCCATTCTTTTCTTTGTACAAAAGGAGAGGGTTATACATAACTCCAAGAGGCATGAGACCGGTGATCCTATAGGAAGCACATGAATTATAATGGTTGTAGTGAGACAAATCTAATTCTAAAAAGCCTTGCTCTGTGTGCCTTAAAGATTTTGCTATCTGCGGGTCGTAAGTAAATAGATCCAATGGCACAAATCCTTGATCCGTGTACTTTTAATTCTTTGCTATGATTGGAGCAGAAACACTCTCTCTCAAACTGAATGGTAGAGATCTATCATTCCAAATTTGCTTGTGATATTTTTTAAATGTTGGGTTGCATAATCCTTTAATGAATATATTAGTCAGTTGCACAAATCAGCCCGCTTTCTAATTTCTTTTTTATAAAGTACCTATAAAGCTTAACATGTTTGATATGACCATGTAGAATAGATTTGTGTGCAATATTGATGATCAATTTGTTATCATAATATATTTTCATAGACTATTTCTACTTAATTTTTAATGCTTTAATATAATTTTAACTTGTAGAAACTCACAGATCCCTTATACAATGGCTCTAAACTTGGCTTCTACACTTGATCTTAAAACCACAGATTGTTATATGCTTCGCCACATTATGAGATTTCCTCCTAGTAATGTATAATACCCTGAAGTAAACCAATCCACAGTTGATCCAGCATAGTCTATATATATGTTTCCTCAACTTGTAAGGTATCATATCTTTTGTATAGAATTTTTTTCCTACGCTTGATTTGAGATATCAGAGAATCCTATAAGTGACTTGAAGGTGTGATTCTTCAAGTTTGTGCACAGATTAACTAATTAGATTTACTATGAATGAGATGTCAGGACAAGTGTGAGATAAGCAGAACAAGTTTTCCACTAACCTTTGATATTATCACGTATCTACATTAGCTCCTTCATCAAGGTCCAATTTTTGTCTTGGTTAAGTTGGAGTTTCACATGTCTTATACTCTGTCAACTTGATCTCTTTTAACAGATCCATAATATACATATATATTTTCGGAAATAATTATTGAGCCACTTCTAATCCCAAGAGTACTTGAGAATTACAAACTCAATTTCAAAATTTTCAACAAACGTTTTGCTGGCAGCTGCTTTCTCTTGATGATCATCTCCTTTAATAATCATATCGTTAACATACACTATAGGGATTGTGATTTAACCACCAAGAAAGTGTTTAAAGTATGGTTTCTTTGACTCTATTTGTATCCAACTCATTCCATAGCCTTTTCAAATCATTCAAACTAAACTCTTGGTGATTGTTTTAGTCCATATAGAGCCTTTTTCAATCTGCATATCTTACTCTTTTTATAAGTGTTATCAAATCTTGATGATGGATCCATATAGATTCCTTCTTCGGCATCACCATGTAAGAAAACATTTTTTACATCATATTGTTGTATAAGTCACCATAATTTACAGTTGGGAATATCATAATACGAATAATATTCATTTCCGTAACATAAGAAAAAGTTTTTTTTATGATTGAGTATATTCTTTTGCTAATAATCATTATTTATTTACCTATCTAGGCACTCTCATGCATTGTACTTCACTGTGAAAATTTATTTGCATCATACTGTCTTCTTTCTTTTTGGTAATTCAGTGATATCCATATATGATTTTTTTTAAGCCATTAATCTCTTCTCTTATTGCTTCATTCCAACTTTTATTTTCAAGTGTCTTAAATAGAGTTTGTGGAATGAAAATATATATTATATATTGATGTTGGTTAAAAAAAAATTTAGGAGATAGAGAAAAATTATGAAATGAGATGCATCGAGAGATGATATATAAATGAGTCGTAGTATGTTGAGTAGTATTACCTGGCAACGGTTTTGAGCTTGGACTTACTGGAGATTTTAGTAGGGCTTATTCTTTCTGGTATAGACCTAAATTTTCTGTTATAGGAATGTCAAGATAAAAGATATCATCATCAAGATGGAATTCTCCCTTTGAAGATGAATTTGAGTGAAGAAGCTATAGATTCATCAAAAGTGACATCAATTGAAATGAAAAACCTTTTTGTGGTCAGATGATAACACTTATACCCTTTTGTGTGGCAAAATATCCAATGAATATAGAGTGGAGAGCTCGAGTTAAATTTTTCTCTATATTTTTTATTGACATGGACATAAAAAATGCATCCAAAAAATTTTGAAGGGATTTTTGAATAGTTTTTTCTAGAAAAAAAAACTATTAAATAACATGGAGAGCAATTTTAAAAGCTAGTCGTAACAGTACTGAACTTCTATGTAGATATAGTTCGGGAACATATACCCCACCGAACAGAATTATCATATTAATGAAAAAGAATTATTAGCAATAAAGAAAACAATTACTGAGGGCTCATTAGCTAGGGTTTATTTTGTTTTGTTTCCCGGAGCTTTTCCTTTTGCCGTCTTACTCCTAGCGGCGTCCAGGGTTTGTGGAGTCTTGCTTATTTGCTTTGGTATTAATTGATTAACCCTAATTTGGATTTCCTCACACATAATTCTTGGAAGTTGTTCATTGATTTTGGCTTCGTAAATGGACGGGAAAGAAATCGCTTGCTAATTAATTAGAAATAGCTAATGCATTTTTTGCTTTTGTTTTTTTTCATTTAACTTATCATTTCACATCTTGTACTAGAATGCTTGAGAAGTGAATAAATTAAATAAGGAACACAATATTTCTACTTGGAATCATGCTCATTCTTCTCAGGAGTGAAAATTTTATATGCTGGTTAGAATCTTGTTTAGGTCGGTTTAGTTGACAATAAGATAAACGAATGAAAAATGGGTGGATTCTCTTTTTCTTTTCACCTTCGTGCCTCGAGATAAGAAGATGGAATGGAAAATTGTAGAACCTTTGGATCTTTTATGCATTGTACTGAAAACATGCTATAGTCCTAATCCAATTTGTTGTTTCAAACTTTGCCCCAAAATCCCACATAATTCCCTTTCTCGTATGCATGATTTGCAATTGATCGGGCCCACCCAAGGTTTGAAATCGTCCTTCTCATGATAAGAGGGTTCCGCCCCTTTCAACTGGGCCGGCAGATCGGGTTAGGAGGGTTCGGTCCAAGCCGGTCCCTCCTGGACCAGTGTAACAACAGGTGTATCAATACTATTCTCCCAATGAAGAACCTTGTCCTCAAGATAAATTGATGGAAATGGCTTCTGCATCACTTGTGATACATGTAAGACTAGATGCATAATGATGATGGTGGTGGCCTCAGACGGTATGTCACCGCCCCAATGCGTGTCGTAATCTTATAGGGTCAAAAGAATTGTGGAGAAAGCTTTTTCATTCCTTCTGGTCAATGTCTTCTGCCAATAAGATCTCAGCTTCAAGTAGACCATGTCTTCGAGTTCGAATTGTATCCCCTTCTATGCCCATCAGCATTCCTCTTCATGATCTATTGGTTCTCAGTAGATGTCCCTTGAGCTATGCTAATATCATATCCCTCTCCTCCAAGTATAGGTCTACACTGGATATCGGTGTAGAGCTATGCCCATAGTATATCAGGTGACGTGGATCTTGCCCATTCAAAATCCTGAAAGGGGCGGTATGTGCCATAGTATGGTACAAAGTGTTGTATCAATACTTTGCCCAAAACTTCAACATATCTGATACAAAACAGCGTAGGTACGTCTTCATACTCCTGTTGATCACCTCCGTATGGCCATTTATCTGGGGATGGTGTGTTGTACTCTTTAGGATATATTCACTATAACCTGAACAATTCTTTCCATAAATGGTCGAGAAACACCTTGTCCTTCCCTGATACAACCCGCTTTCAGAACACTATGCAAACGAACCACTTCTGTATGAATACCTTGACGACTGGACAAGAGTGCAAGGGCATCATAATGGAATGAAATGTACATATTTGCTCAGGCGATCCGCTACAACCAATATCACAGTAAACCCCCCAGATCGTGAAAACCATTTTATAAAATCCATCATCACCTCCTCCCAAACCTTCTCAGGTAAGGCTAGGGACTGCAACAACCCTTTTGATGTCATAGTCAAATACATGGTCGTTGGCACACATTGCATCTCCCCATCATATCCTCTACATTTCAGCACATCCCCGCCCAATATAGCTCGACCAATATTTCATTGTATCTTATGTACCCCCCGAGTGCCCCCCAATCACTCTGCAAGGAAACTCTTGCAACAATTTAGGGATATACCCTGATGCCCTAGGTAACACAAATAGTCTCTGATAGAGTACTTGTTGCCCCTTCAATGTGTATCTTGGATGATTAATCAGATCCTGTAACAACTCTCCCATGATCTTCGTTAGGCCTTCATTCTGCTCGTTCTCCTGCCTCAGGGCTTCTCAATCTAGGACCATAGGTATTGATAAATCTGTCAATTGGGATTTCTCCACCTTCCTCAATAGTGCATTTGTTGCTTTATTCTCCAATCTAGGGCAGTACTAGATCTCAAACTCAGATACAAGTAACTTAGCCACATTTGATGCTCCTCAATCCCAGTCATTTGCTCCAACAAATACTTCAAGCTCCTCTGATCTCTCCTGACTATAAAGTGTCGCCCCAACAGATAGGACATCACTTATAAATGATTACGACTTACCATCAATTCTTGTTCGCACACGGACTTGAGCCTTGCCTTGGTCCCGAGCACCAAGCTAAAATTGGCAACAAGCCACTGGACTTGCATGAGTACTGCTCCCAATCCATACTTTGACGCATATGTATCTACCAAAAATGGTCTACTGAAGTATGAAAGTGCTAATAAAGAACACTAGTCATGGTTCTCTTTAGCTGTTTGAAAGC